TGGGAAACTCAGAGGCAGGCGAACCTGAGTTTTAGGATCCCTGAGCATGCCCAGTTCTGTTGCATTACGACCACAATTTAAAGAGGACAACCAGGTAAAAGCAGAAATCCCATCTGAACCAAGATCACTTTCCTTTCTGGTCATGATGACGTTCCTTTATTTTTCTTTACCCAACAGTCACTATTTTTACTACCAATCCGCCATGTTATCATGTTATTAGATGACAACGTACACAGCTTTAACTTGACTTGCATCACATTACATGTCCATCAAAAAAATATGGTATGATTGTGAAGTGAAAGAGAAATCATATAAGACTTTCACATTGAACTTGAGTCTGTACTTAACTAGACACATCTACACAGTATGATACTGCCACTGCCGTGTTTCATTGTAGGGAGGATGCGTTCAGACTGATGTTCACTGTGGACCAGGCATGACGTTCTGCTTAACCAGAGAATCTTGATTCAGTTACATGGCTTTCAACAAACTGCAAATAGGAATTCAACTTTTGCACTCAAAAGTAGCTCCTATAATGAGCTCAGGTGTTCCACTAGATGTTTGCTAATTGCTGCTGGCTAGTCTGAAGGAGCTGAGTGGAGGAGTTATGGGAGAGGGATGCTCTGTGAGATGGAAGCTCAGAAGATTGAAAACTACAGCTCTGAGGAGGAGCTTCATCCTCGAAGGTGGGGCTATGTCCCACCAAGCGTTCTGCACAGCTGAAAGGTTGCCATGGGAGTTTCAAGGATTTCTCAAATGTCAATGAAAGAATCAATGTAACACTCCAGGTATGTTTTTCTTTAACAAACAACATTATAGCATAATGTAAAGCTCAAAAATGTCGATTTTACATAATACTGCCCCTTTAAACGTTGCAAAAAGAATTATTTTCTTTTTCTGAATCTTAAGCAAAGAACATTTCCTGAAGCAGCTTGGAGTGTGTGAACTAAACGCTCCCGACTTCAGGTTCACGTCGAGCATTCAATTTGCATAATTATTTCATTTTCAAATCAAATCTCGCATCATTTAAGGCGGCGCAGTCAATGGCCAACACAAAACTCCTTACATTTCCAGACCACTCCCTGTTTGTTATTGACTGCAGCCCCCCCACGCTCAGGCGCTGTGTCGGCCCCCTTCCCCTCCCTGTGTGTCCCTAAAGCCATTATCTCTCTGTGTGTTTGAAGAGACAGGACCCAGCCCTCTTCCCCAAAAACCCCCAGATAAAAAGACTCTTAGCCTGGGGCCCTAAATACCAGCAGCCCATGTGAACTGCCGGGTGGCTGAGGCTTCGGAGGGGTGTAATTTCAGCGACAGCCAAGCTGCATTCAGCGCCCCCGAGAGGTTAGACAAGCCGCGACCTGGAGCCCTGAGAGACAACACGAAAAAGAATGAGTCTGCATGTGTGTGTTTGATCGAGGAGACAAGGAGCTGATTGTGTCGGTATGAGCAATGGCACGCTGTCATTAGCAGAGACTTCTCTCAGAAAAGGACCGTTAGTCACAAAAAGGGAGAGAGAGTGTGAGAGATGGTGCGGTTTTGGTGTCACTGTAGTGATTAGAGAGGAAGGTTTCAATCAAAGGCCATCAGGAACCAGGAGAGACAGTTTCCAACCTGATTAAAAAGACGGAAGGTGAAATGAACTGTAATAGTCGCTAAGCACTGCAATTTCTCTCCTTTTTCCTAACTCTCAAATGTTCCTTTGGAACCAACTAAAAACACAAAAAAATGCCAAACTAGGGGGTACGGATTTGATCACCACTGTGTGGAAAAAAAAAAGTCTCTCATCACGTGCCAAGTAAAACAGCCTTCAAACGTTTATCTGAGCAGAAATAGCGCAGGATTTAAGTTGACATTCCTGGAGGAGATGTTTACATCAGGACTAAAATAGCAGCTCCTATCCAGGAGTAGATCCTTCCTGTTCCAAACAGACAGAGTACCTGCAGCTTCCTGTCCGCTTCCAGCTGATGCCTCCATCCAGGAAATGAAAAGGAAGAGTAGCACAGCTGAAGCAGAAGCAGTTCATCCCGTTAACAATTACCGCAGTCTAAAAATATTGACTTTTCTTATTTCTATGTTCTGCCGTATTCCAAAGTGGATTCAGTTTATTGTTCCCTCAGATTTGTACACATGGAAATCTTTTGCACGTTTTAGGGTGTTTTCACCCCCGATAATCCAGTAGACTCGATTTGATTGGGGATCAAAGTTGCAACATGTTAGGTTTTCTGTTGCAGTTTCGCCCATTTTCCTAATTGGTGCAGTTTGCTTTCACACTGCACTATGTCAAACAATCCAAACTAATTGAAAAACCTGTTTCCCTGTTCGCCTGTGGCGGTGCTGCACCAAGAGCTAATGAAGAAAACACCAAAACCTCCGAAGACGACGCCGAGTGCAAATTCCTCTTTCAGAAAATGTGAACAAAAATGGAGTAGCATCAGATTTTAGCGGCTGTAGGATTTCTCTTTTGCATAAGACCATGAGCCATTTCTCCCTCTACTGCTAGACATGTTTGTTTTGGTTGTATTTACCCAGAATGCTCAGGGCTATAATGAACTTTTTGCTGGGCATTCTGGTCCGCATCGCACCAGAGTTCACTTCAACTAAACTCTGGTCTGCGTTTGTAGGCAGACCAGAGTTTGCTTTCTTTGGTCTGCATCAGAGTCCGATTACTTGTTCACACCTCCCCAAACCAACCTGACTTTCTAGGCAGAGTTTGAATAATGTAGACGAAACGGGGCCAGTGTGGTCTGAACCAACGTGTAGGAAACCATCTCGAGAACTATAAACACATCACAAGTGAGTATACATTCGCATCCACTTGGCATTGAACTCAATCGGATCCAGTTTCTCCACTGTTCCCCTGGATAGATTTGAGGTCCATCCAGAAGGTCAAACATTGTGTTTTGGGGGGGCGTGGCCTTTTTCCATTTTCCGACAGCAGGTATACAGGAAATGGGGTAAAGATAAAGACAAAGGTACCAGGTAGGGAGAGAACCTTGGATGATTCGACGAGAACCATCTTCTCCGCAGCTTTACCCACTATGCCATGAAACATAAAGAAAGTCAACCATTGATAATGCATTACACCAAGCAGGACTTTATGGTAGAGAGGCCAAGCGGAGATGGCTGCCCATTTGAACTTTACAGAAATACACTGAGAAAAACTAAATCATGTGATCTAATGACATCAACATGGCACTGGCTCATCATGTGCTTGAAACTATCCTTGCGAATTACGGTGGTGTACCCATCATGCTGTAAAGAACTTTTTAACAGGAAGTTGTCAACCAGTTCACATAACAGCTAACATGACAGTAGCTAAATGTAGCTTAAATTAAAACTGTTCCAAATGCGTCTGGAAGCTGGACTAAGGCTGATCCTCATCTCTCAACACAACAATGATCGGAAGAAGCAACAACAGCAATACAATGAGCTCTGGAGCAGCACTACCAATATGCAGTCAACCAACATGGAGGTCGCTGCATCCATACTTCTCACTCTCCTGCTAATGTGTCCAGGCTGTGCAGGTAGGTGCAGCGATGTCCTCTTCAGCTATTTGATATTCACTAGAACTGCAGAGGTCGCCAGGTAATAATATTCTGTGTTACGTCTGACCAAACAAAAACCCGTCTATTCTGGTAGGTTACTGCATGGTGAGGAGGATAGTTAGTGACCAGAGAGGAGTGTGTTTTGTGTTTGTCTACTCCTTTTAGAAGGAGGGTGGACTCTTCTGCTCCTCTGTGTAGGAGAGACCTTAATGACGGTTACTCCACTGAGAAGGAGGTTTGGTTTGGACATCTCTTATTTTCTAGGAGTATTTTTGGTTCCAAATTTACTCTAGATTGGGAAATAAAGGTTTGTAAGTTACTATTCTGTCCATATTTACTTATTGCTATTGATTTGCTACATCCTGTCCGTTGCCTTTTCACTCAGGAATTCCAGCAAGAACTAAAAGTGCTGAGGTTAGCTTTGACCCTCGTTTTTGTGGTGTCACTCAAGACCATTTACCAATAACTTATACCTTAAAGATGTTTTAATCTTTGAAGTATTGTCTCAGAAAACTGAAGCAAGAAGTGTTTACCCTACATCTGGTGATTCTACCAGCATCTTAAATCGTATCATGGATTGTGTTGCCTGCATCTTTGGGTTGCCTTGATTTCACAGATATCTGCTACATTTTCTTTCAGCAAGATCCATCTTAAAGTTTGAACTGTTTTCTTAGATTTTGCTTCGTTCACCTTAGAAAAATGCGAAGGTTGTAAAACTAATCAGGGATTGAAAAAAGTGACCATGTAGCACAAAAAAAGAGAGTGAAAACCATCTGTTGTACAAAGAAGATGAAGGTTCAAAGTTCAGATTAAAAGTGAAGGAAAAGATAAAAACCATCAGGTCGAGTTTCAGACAAGAGGAAAAAACTGCTGCTTTACCGTCAGTTTCCAATTATGAGAACATTTCTAACAAATCTGCATCAATTTTACAAGCAGAGATCTGCTAGAACTGGGGATAATTCCTCCAGAAATGCTCTGATTTTGTGTTCAGACGGCTGCATCCTTGGTTCCATTTCTGTTTAACTTGCTGCTGGTTCACCTGAATTTCTCTGCTGTGGGACAATGAATGGCGTTTCTCTTCTGTTCTCGTCTCAACAGACTGAAATTAACCTCCACAGTCTCGTCTGAATCCATTTCCATATCGACTGCGCGGTTCAGACCGGGTTACACTTCCAAAGGGTGTCCTTCACACACAATGTAATGAGAAGAGAAGAGTTCAAGCATTCTGCGCGGATGAAGATGCCTTTAAAAGATTTCAGAGCGCTCACAGAGGGATTAGGCCCCCGGGGGCCGCCGAAATGCAAAACGACCCTCGGTGCTTCAGGTCTTTTAATCTTTCACCTTTTAAATGGAAAACAGCCCTCCCCAATTGTGCATTATTATTAGACATATGATCCAAATATTCAATGCAGGCACATCGAAGCAGCAACATTCAAGAAATTTACACGATTGATATTGTGTTTTTAAATTCTTTATTTAAACTTTGGATATACAAAGGTCTTTTTTTTGTGAACATTGGATTAAAAACGAACATCAAATCCACTCAAAAGTCAAGAAATAAATTTTGAATACTTAAACACAGCAATGCCTTTTCTTTTTTTTTTTTTTACTGATTGGTCATAGAAAACTAAAAACGGTGACCTAAACGCAGAGGAAATGAAATCATGTCGCCGTTGTCGATAGAAACGCATGCAGACGCGAACAGGGTGGCTGTAATAAATATTGTACAGTGTCTGACATCAGCATCTCAGCGGCGCGGCCGTCCCCTCATGCATTTTTAAACGCCTTGAATTTATATTCATTGTTATCAAAACCAACACTGTATAATATTGCACGAGCCCAAAATTCATAATTCATGGGATGAGAAAGGGTCTGGATGTGGCGGCGGGAGGGGCCGCGGATGCTGATGATTTGGCAGGTTGCGTCGGGTCCGGCGAAAGCGTAACAATCGGCTCTAATTTGGTTTCTTTTATAGCTGAACTAGAAGGAATAATGATGGACCCAAAATAAACAGTAAATCAAGGCAGCAAACGTCAACATCCATCGCTGGGAAGCCGAATGATAACAACGAAACGTAAAGGCCTCCCTCAGTCTTCCTAGATGAGGGCCAATTGACGGTCCGCATCTTAACACTCAATACACAAGATTATTTTTGTTAGTTTCCAATAGTACAAAAAGAAACACAAACAAAGTGCCATAAAAAGTGAAACAACCAGGAAACAGTGAAGAGAGTGAGGAGAAGCATTTAAGGTACATGTGGAGGAAAGTGCCTTTAACCTGAAATTACATCCATCAGTCTTTTTCCCTTCACCCACAGTCTTTAGGCTCTGAATTTGATAACTGATTAAATAGCTTTTGAATTGAAGAAGAAAAAGAAAGGGAATCTGATGGTGTTCAACCAGACTGACATGGAGTGGAGGAAATGATAACACTTTAAAAACCGCATCAGTAGGACGGAGCATCAGGGACACGCCAAGAAAATGAAATACAAAAAAAAAATGAGAACAAAGTCGTAAAATCACAAGAAGTCATGCAAGGAAAAAGTTAAAGTAACAAAGTCGTAGTATTACAAATTTATTCTCGAGATGTTACGACTTCTCGGAATATTTCGATTCATGATTACGACTTTGTGATATTTGGATTTCTTGTGCTACGACTTACCGCGTCGTTTCCACTTTAATATCTTTTTGTTTTCCTTCGCATGGCCCTGATATGTTGTCATACACCAAATATTTTATTTATTTAGGCAGCATGGGAAAAGAAAAAGGAACTGATAGAGCAGACTTGGGAAAAACAGAAAGTATTGGTCAGAAATGACATGGCTGATGCATTAGTTTGAAAATTGCTCTGATTGAAAGTTGTTGTGCATTTTAGTAAGTTTATGGACCTGCAGTCATTATCCTGCCTTAGGTTCCAGTAGCTGACCAGTGCGGGTGTTTGTTTCGTCTCTGGAACTGACCGTGATGCTTTAGTAACCAATCACAGCCAACGACGACGGGAACTCAGTGTTCCTCTTTTGTTAAGAGCGTCGACATCACTTTAGGTTTCACCAACTTTCCTCAAACCCACAAATATGGCATCTTGAGAATAAACTACAGTAAGTCAAGCAGCCAGATTTTACAAATACTTTCAGACATATGCAGAATTTTGTGGTTTTTTTTATTTTTTATGCTTCCTGAGGAATTAATAAATACAGAGTTTACTCTCTGGATTTCAAACCTTAAAACAAGGGAGAAAGAGGAACATAAACTGATCTCACTTTAGATTTTTCACCAATATAAAACTCTTATAAACACTATTTAATTTACTTAACAGAATCACAGCAAACATGTTCATAAGCCTGTTAGGTTTCTAGCTAAAATACTTTTCTTTTCTTTTTTTTAGGATGAAACTACGATATATGTACACCTCAAAGCGTCATCTAGAGATAATCTACATACGGACTAGAAGGGACAGTGAGTGTTGGACTGAAGGTCGGGTTATGTACATCACCAGCTGTGGGTCTCTGAGGTTTGCTGTTCCAGGTAGAGCTGATCCAGGATCAGAGTTCAAGCAGCACCGACTGAGTCGCCCTGACTTCTGACACAAGAAGGAGGAAATTAACACTTTTATTTCATAAAACACAGGGGGATAAGAGCGGACCTTGCTCTGCTTCTTGAAGCGATTTGATTCAAAACAGGAAAAACAAAATAAAATAAAAAAATAGGCAAGTTTAGCTGAATCGAGATTCTGCTCACAGTGGTTAGGGGTAACGACTCCCACCTCTGACCAGCCAGGCTTTTGGTGGGGTGCTACGCTATTGTTTGCTGCCCCCTAGAGCTGAGAGCAAGGCAGTGCAGGTATGGCTCAGGAGGAAAGAACAGAGGATTAGGGCAGGGTGGGGCGTGTGATGTGGACGTAGAGCAGAGGCCGTGCTACTCGTCACAGCCCAGCAGCTCCATCCGAAGGGTGATGCGCTCGTGCCACTCCCAGGGCAGGACGCGGACGTAGCGGCTGTAGAAAGGCGGCTCGAAGATGTTCTTCTTGTGAACGTTGTTGTCGCTGTTGCCGGTAAAGATCTGGGCAGACAAAAGCAGCGCAGCACAGCGTCTCTTCAGCAAAGTTTTAAAGTGGTTTTAGTTGTAATGCAGAACTGGGATTTCACTGGGAGAGCTACGTTTAGAGCTGGTATGTGCAGAACGACGCGTCACGACCAAACAACTGAATCTAGAGGGATTTTACGTAACAGACTGGTGCAAAGTGTTTAACTTCATCCGTATAGATTGTATTCAGCCTCCTGGTCTTTTAGATGACGTCTCAAAGTTTCGCACCTCTAGAGACTGAAATGTTGTTTATTCCTCTCTAAAATTACTGACAATCTGATATTAATATCTGCATCGGTCTGATGTTGAAAAAATTTTTTGCATTGGGTCTTAGTGACAATGTGCCCAATCCATACGGACAGATCTATTCAGTCAAATTCTATGTTTTGTGCTCAATTGCTTTATTATTTATTTTACTTTATATTTAGAATTTCTAATTGCACTTTCTGTGCCATTTGATAGAAGGTTGTTGCAGTTTAATTTTTACATGTTTGACCAAATATATGTCAAAAAAAAAAATAGAGCCAAAGTAGTCAACCTATTGTTTTTGTCAGTTTCTTTGTTTTTTAATTTACATTGGATGTTCTTCTCATAATTGCACCGACTGAATAAATTAAAGTTGTTTTTGTACGTTTGACCAAACTTGTGAAGCCATCAGTGTATTTAAGTGAGCTGTACTGGAGCAGAGTTATCAAACACGTGTTTAATTCACTACATTTATGTCTTTGTTCAGATGAAAAAGAAATATTTTAAGTCAATTCAGCGCAGTTTTTCTGTATCGGCCGATTCTAAACCACAGATATCGTATTTAAATATTTACATGCATGTAAATAATAGTAAACAGCAATGTAGCAGGATTTATTTTTGCATTTCTTGGATAACCTCATCTAATTATAAACAATCCAGCAACCAGCAGAGTAAAAAATAAACTCTTTCATATACAGGGCGGCGTTTGAAGGGTTTGAAGTAAAAGTAAAAATGAGACGATGTACAAATTTTTCCTGTGATATTGACTTGACCTGATTTCTTTTGTCTTTTTAACATCCCTCCCAGTCATATTCCTCATAATTCTGCACAATACATTTGTATTAATCGGTTTTATTTTAACGTTTTTAACGTGTGATGAAAAAACTCCTGCTGAAGCATTTTAGGTCTTCACTTCATTTTCAACCAGCACATTTACGTTCTTCTTATTTTTTTTTTTTAACTGGGGCTCAACCCGTCCTGTTGGACCAACCTTGTCTTTGCGCGTGGTTTTGTCCTGCAGTACAGTCCAGGACCATCCGTCATTACTGTGGGCTATTTTGAACGACGAAACAAACTGGATAGAGCCGAAGTCTTTTGCTCCCTGAGTGACGATTCCTGTTATCCTCTTGGGAGACAACAGGTCCACCTAAACTCACACAAACAAAAAGACTACCTTACAAACCAGAATATCAGATTAACAAACCAAAATGTGTCTCCGGCGCGTCGCCTCCCACCTGCAGCCACTCAGACCGGCTGTTGATGGCGGGGATCCAGGCGTTGGTCTTGCCCTGCTTGTCCAGCCGGGCGTAGTGTGGCAGCCAGGTGAAGGCGTCCATGCCCCAGGTGCGGAAGGTGCTGGAGGCCGTGATCTGACGGTCCAGCACCAGGCGAGACTTCATGCCCATGGGCTCCGAACAACCTGGAGTGTTTGAATACACTGCGGAGGTGAGACCAGGAAGAGAAGAGAAGGAAGAGGAAGAGAGGGGAGCAGCAGGAGGAGGGAGAAGCAGCTCAGGCCGGTCGGGGAGGTGGAGCGGCAGACATCAAAGTGACGATAAGGGAGGATGAGAGCAGGAGGGGCTTTGAATTAACAAAGTGAACAAACACACGCGACATGAAACAATCAGACTTTAGTGCACAGTTAGTAACATTTGTAAAGGTTTGATCTGCCTGTACCAAAAGGTTTCAAAATATTTATTTCTATCCATCCTTCTGTGAGAGAAGCTGCTGTGAAACTGAGTTTTAGTGATTTAACTCCTCTCAACTCCCCCATTTTAACACTTAGGACCTTAAAGATCAAACCGTTCCCAATGGAAAAAGTCTGGTTATTTATCTCTGCTGCCATCTAGTGGTTAAATATGTAGTTTCATAAAGAAAAGAAATTTGAATCTCAACCAAGACGCTCTGACTGAACCAGTATAACAGCTCAATTCACTTGTTTTAAGATGCGTTCACTGAAAAAAATAAAAATAAAAAAAATCAGATTTTTGAGTTTCCAGTCACCAACTTCTTGGTGCATCTCTAAGTAGAAGGAAACTCAAAGCTTTCTAGAGCACATTTTTAATGCTAATGGGTTTGTCAAACAGCTAATTACAGGGTTTGTTTCTATTTCCCTTGATGCCATTTTACATTCTACAGCAGGAACAAGGTAAACTTAACTCAAATATAACAAAATGTATTTTTAAAGATGCGTCTACTCCTCAAAAAATGTTCTTGCTAGGTTTTCTTGCATTCAGCAAATATAAATAATTTTGGTAATTATAACTGACCTAAAACAAGAAAAGTTTAGGCTGATTTAACTTCAGACAGTGATGAAAGAAATTTGTCTATTTTTATCAGGTTTACGAGAATATGTGGTTTCAGCTGTAAAATAAACACTTTCCAAATTTAGGCTTTTAATCAAACGTTTATATTGAACTTCATTATAAAATTGCGCAGTTTCGGTAGCAAGCACTTTCAAGGATTTTATATTGAAATCAAGCACTTTCCAAACCTTGAAAACAGCTAAATGAAATTCAAACATTTTCAAGCCCCTGTACGAAACCTGAAATTAGGCTGTTTCACAATTATTTAGCTATTAAACTTTTCCATTATTGTATTAAAGAAACTGAAGCATAACTTTACGAGGTAAATCTAAAAGACATCAAGGGAACGAGAAACTGCTTTGAAACAAAATGATTTTTAACAATGCAAGACAGACTGTTTAAAATAAAAACAAAGCTTCTGTTGTGAAACTATGTGAGTTGATGCCGGGGGAAACGTAAGAGGGAAGAGACGACGATGTGACGAGTGAGACGACTGTGAAAACAAAAACATGGAGCAGTGCAGAAGCCCAGCGAGTTCAGAGGAAGCGTGTGGTGAGAAGACATTTGCTGCAGCTCAGAGAAGACTTGAAAGAACCAAAATAAATAGACCAAAATAATCTGTGTTGAACATATTCAGACTTTTTGCACATTTGCTGCTCATCTTTAGACACATGGAGCCGAGTTTGTTCCCCGCAGGGTAGAAAACCTTTGAAATACATTCAGTTTCTGAGGAAATGGGAGCTAATTGCTAGCAGATATAAAGATTTCTTCTCGCCAACTGGATTCAGTGAATATAAAGTTAGTTTCAATGGTTAGTGAGAATGTGGACACTGGGTGTGTGTGTGTGTGTGTGTGTGTGTGTGTGTGTGTGTGTGTGTGTGTACCGTTGAGTTCACAGCCCACCAGCTCCATGCGCAGGGTGCAGGCCTTGCGACACACAACAGGGATGATGCGGATGTACTGTGCGATAATCGGGGGGTCGAACAGGTTGGTCTTGGTGCCGTCGTTGTCCACGTTCCCCGCAAAAATCTGGGAACGAGGAAGGCGATGAGAAACCTTTAGTTGACCCGCCACGCTTTATTCTTAAAACTGCTGAAGCTCGGTCAGACTGGACGGAGCGCATCTGCAAACAATCATTTTCAACTTTAAATTTACAGTAGGCCTGAGAGTTAACTATTAACTTTTGGGGCTTTTTAGACTGTTTTCAAACCATTATGACAATGTAAGGCCTGCATCGCGACAGACATGTACCAAAGAAACCTGTACATTTTATGGAGTAGTAAGCTTTTGTGCACAGAATGCATCGTACAGTGGTGAAGATGAACGTTATCCAGCTAACTGGTAATAGATTTGCACTTACCTATGATGGATGCAAAAAAGCTAGCTAACTACAAAGGGTTTATTGGCAGCTAGTTAGCGGTAGCCTCAATTCAGAGGGCAATTATGATGTCAAACGTTTGCTTGACAGAAATGTCACCCAAGAAAATCTACATAGAATAGATGAGATTAAATTTAAGACACGTGATTAACATTTACAAGACCAACTTACATTTTTAAAATGAATTTAAGACATTTATTAAGGCTGTAGTTTTAGATACATGAATTAAAGACTTTTTTAAATGAGAGGGCGGCCGTAGCATCTCCCAGTCAGAATAAAGTGCTCAGGTGAACTTTATTTTGGGGTATCAGACGAAAAAGGGTCTGATTACAAATTCATGCCACACTTTTTAGATCTTTATTAGTAAAAACTTTTGAATTCAAATTCAAAATTTGTTTGATCCAAAGCAGAAATTAAATTATTTTAAATATTCGAATAAAATTAGAACATTTAACATTTTTTCCACTCCACTATTATGCTCTACCTTGTAGGTATTAAAACGCAATAAAATAGAATAATGTTTGTGGCTGTAGCGATACCATTTATATATTTTCAACTTTTCTTATTCCAAAATAATTCTAATTCATAAAGAATTGCAAAACAGTTGTAAATAAATCAGACTGCCTCTTTCCTAAAATCTTTCCTTTTCCTTTAACTGATCTGATTCATGCTGATCAGTTTGAAACCTCCTTAAAGTCAGCGGCGCTACGTCTCCTCCCTCTCGTCCTCACCTGGTCCTTTCTCTGTCCTTCGGTCCTGTACATGGTGAACGTCCTGCCGTCCTGACTGGACGCCACTTTGAAGGCCTTGATGAATTCTTGCGTGCCGATGCGACTGGCACCCTGAGTCACGACGCCCGTGAAACGCATCGTCCTGTGCATGTTGATCTACAAACAGGTGACAGGATTTTATTTTCATAGCAGGTCGAGTCAGGTTGACAGTTAGCGCTTAAAAGGTCAAGACAAAATGGAATTAAACAAACCGTCTTTCCAGTGTTTAACAAGTCATGAATAGAAAACCTTGAATTGATTCCGCAATTGTAGTTCATCTTTCATCAGTATGGATCCAAGCTGCTCATGTTGCACTGAAATGCATGACTGTGCTGACCTGTATCCAGGGGTTCTTGTCATGAGGAGCGGCGCTCCACGCGTTGACCAGTCCCTTGTTGTGGAGGCGGGCCAGCTCTGTGCCCCAGCGCTGCAGGCCCAGCATGGTGTAGCGGATCGATGAGGCTGTGATCTGGGACTCGGCGATGCCCCCGCCCTCCATGCCGAGGAGAGAAATACAGCCTGAGGAAGAGAGACGTGTGAACGCCGAGCCTCGAAATAGGGCGGGGCGGTGAAGCAAATTCTTGGTTTTTGATTTCATTTTTGGAGAATTTAGATTTAGTGATGTCAGCACGGCCAGCATCTTGTTTGACCAGAGTGTCTGTTTATCTGGACTTTGATTGTTAGGACCAGGATACAAATGGTTTTTGTTGGTGTTGTTAGCAGAATAATGTCACAGTATTACAAGAATAAAGTTGCAATATTAGGAGAGTGAAGCAGTGATTTTATGAGAACTCCAAAACCAAAACACAAAAAATTAAACTGAGTCAAGATGAACATTTTTTGAATTTATATTTTGATGAAAGTTTTACAGAAATTCTTCATCTTTTAACGCATCAGCACCAAATTATTACCACTAGTGGGACTTTAAAACAACCAAATCTATTTCAAGGAAATAATTAATCAAATCTTTTCACCTTTTAAAACCACTTTCTCTTAATTTTAAGAGTTTTTCTGTTAAAACAGTGATTTTATCCTGCTAATATAACGACCATATCCTCATAATTAAACAAAAGTGCTTTTTCATACAACTCACAGTAGGTATGATTTAAATAAAAGCCACATTTGAAAATATGTCATTTTGTTTTTAGAAAAATTGAGGAAAAAAAACAAAAAAACAAACTAAAATTGGAAACATTATGAAATAAAAAAAACTTTTAAAGCCTTGCCTCAAACATTCAACACTGATTAAGTCAAATTTCTCCTAAACCACAAAATAATCAAATTATTAAATCTGAATTTATGCCACATATTTAAAAAGCATTTACTCTGGATGCTGCAGTAAAAGAAAACTAATGCATGGATGGTTTAATGTATGGCTATAAACTTGCAGCTCTTTAAAAGCCCATAAACTCATTCAGGACACACAGCACTGAATCAGCGGAGCTGAATAAAAAGTATTGATCTCTCATTTAGAGCGAGCCATTTCTATTCTACATATCGATCATCCTGAAGCTCCGCTCTCGGCCATCTTCCCAACTCAATCATCTTCGGTTTAGTCTTTCACTTCTCTATTACACTCCTTCCATTAAGTCATCGATCACTCGCCCGAGCACTTCTGCTGTCATTTTGTAAGACGATGGCGGTGCGAGTCGGTTACACTCACGCAGTTGGCAATGTTTGCCCACATATGGAGAGGGGCAGTGGCATTTGAAGTCTCCGTCCAAGTCCCGGCAGGTGCCACCGTTCTCGCACGGGTGGCCGGCGCAGTCGTTTACGTCTGCGGAGAGATGAATCACTTCGTCATTTACTGCAGTCGGGGAGGACGGCCAGCCTCGGTGCGTTTCGTAGAAAACTTAAGAGTTAGAAATGTTAGAGGAAGTTAACGTCATGCTTTCAGCAAAGCTTACAGTGCCCGCTAAAAGTACTCGTGCTTCTTGAACAAGCAAGGTTTGACTGATACATTTCAATGAATTACATTGGGATTTTATGTGGTACTAAAGCACAATTGGGAAGTGAAAGGAAAACAAACATTTGTGAAATGTGAAAATCCATCTTGAATGTGATGTGGCTGCATAAAATCCAGTTTAGGAAAAAAATTCAAACTTTTTTTTTAAACATACAAAAGTTCCACCTGGAACCTTTGCATTCGGGTTTCTGGTACGACCGTATACCTGAAACACAAGTAACATAGGCAACAACAACAACAACAAAAAAGACGAGGCCACTTCTCTTGCTCCACGGGGGTCAATTTTTACTTCCAAATACAATCTGATGGGACGCTGGAAAAGACTGTTAGGCTAACTCCTTTTAGCACAACCTGAGCACATCAGTGAAGCTATCCAAGGTTAACTAGCATCTTAATGCTAAACATGTAGCAGCAGCACAGACGTCCCCAATGCTAAAGGTGGTATCCACAGTCCACATTTCTAAAGAGGGATTTTCGAGTTGAAAACGTTGCTCATTTTGTCAATCTATAGTTTGATGAAATGCAATTAATTGCGATAAAATTACAGACCCCACAGTTAACCCGATTCAGAAGTCCCACAAATGATTTTTAGCCAATATAAATCTGAAAAGTTTTGAGCACATTTTTATTCAGCCCTCTTTTAGTTAAAACCTCAAAATAAAACCATTTGTAGAATGCACAACTCATTGTCTTGTCGAAGGAACCTATACTGGGTTTTATTTAGGGATACAAGAATAAGGGAGGAGAATTTTTAAAAAAGTGTCATTATAAGGATGTACGAACAAACAAAAAATAGAATGAATCTATTGAAGTTTGTGGCTGTTAAAAGGCTAAATGTTAAAACGTTCACTGTGCACGAATAGTTTGGGAAGGCACTGCAGCCGAAGCCAAACCAGGAAGACCACAGCTGCAGAGAAAAGAGGGTTAGCAAGATTATTTCTTCTTTAGTGACTTCATGTAATCTTGTAAAACTGATGTGGCCTGAAAGGTCCAGCTGCACCAAGAGATCATGTGGTTAATTATGTAAGGAAAACTAAAAACAGAATGTATTAAGGGAAAATTTTAGTGCAGTGTACAATGTGCTAATTTTTTCCCTGCAATTCCTTCTATTGGCCCGTGGTGGCGCCCATAAGCACCAATAGTTCTTCCCCCCCAAAAATAATATTCAGATTAGGACAAGTAAAAAAAATCATTTCTCACCCATGCAACCTTCCACAAACTGCTCTGAATACTTTCAACACTTTTTTTAAAAAGCTCAGTTTTAGTGTACAACTAAAACTGAGGGACTTCAGAGGACATTTCAACACACATCTTCCAGCTTCAATCCCTATTGGTTACCGTCGTCGCCGCATAAAACGCACAAGCCAACCAGGGAGACAGATGTAATGTTTCTAACCAGCAAAAACACACACACAGTTTCATCTTACCGCCCACACACTGCCTCTATAAATAGCTCTGTGTCCAAACAGTTATTTTCACCCATCATAGGAGGGATATAGTAATTTTGAACTGTGCAGCCGCACGCTCTGGATAATTAGGCACACTGGTTATTCAGATATGAAGATTGCAGCTTCCTTTGACTAAAACACAGAGGGAATCTTCAAGTTTATGCAGCAACGCTTCATTGATAAAATTCATTTCCAACAATGCACACAATAAAAGAACTGGATAGTTGAAGTCAAATATCAGAATGTCAAACTCCACTTGTAGAGGTTGATTAACTGCCTGTAAAGATGCCAAGTGGCGACGGAAGAATTTTAAAACCTAACACTGCACCATAATTCTGATTGAAAGGCAAACATTGTGAAAAAGCAGTCAAAATGTTTGTTGTCCACTGTGAATGGCATGTGATTTAACAAAAAAAAAAAAAGATATCCCATTAGCCTCAGGTCAAGCAGCGTCCCTCTCAGCTCCTATAGGATTGAGCTACGACTGCATTTCATAAGCTCCTAAATTTAATCCACTAACCTATTTTTTTTTCTCTGTATGAAGTGAAAACCCAATGGTAATCTCAGGAGCCTTGCTTGAAACCTGATCCTGCATAGTGCTTGTGAAGAGGAAAACTAACAAAAAAGAACAGTGTAGCAAACTTAAAAAGGGCCGGATGATGCATTTTCCAGGCACATAGTGCCATTTTTAAGCACAATTATGAAACTGTTACTTTTAGTTCCTGTAAAAACACTGTACATACCAAATATGACGAAAGAAATTTGACTTTGTAATTTCATGTCTTGAAATTGTTCCTTTGTTTCTTAAAGACTCCTGCTCTCGCTGAAACTCCGCCTTCATGAAGTCATCACAACATGACTCCTCTATTAAGCCTTTAACAACGTTTTCACCAGAAGAAGTGGCTGCTACGGCTCAGCAGATGAGCAGTTCCACCAGGTGTTTGCTAATTGCTGCTGGCTAGTCTGAAGGAGCTGAGTGGGGGAGGGCTGCTCTGTGAGGTTGACGATTGGACGCTGCAGTTATTTGTCGTTTCTGTTGTGTTTATTTCGAATACTTGAAATGTCTTCCAGTTGCAGTGTTAGAGTAACTAGAATTTAAAAACTCCACTGATCTCTGAGAATCAGTTCTTGCATTATTATGCTATTACCATTATATTACTTGTCACAAAACAACATTATCGTTTATCGCAATAACTTCTGGGACAATTTATTGCCCAGCAAAATGTATTATAATTTTGTGATTTGTAAAAATGTGGATGCATTTTTTTTTTTTTGTTTGAAAAATAAAAAAAACACAGTTGATACCAAATCCTAACAGACCAAATGGTGTAACAGTGACACCTTTTTGGGGTAAAAATAAGAAATATTGCAGTTCCAGTTGCTGACTACTTAAAGGGCAACAACTTATTAAAGTTCACCTGATGTAGTTTTGCGTTCTCCACGTTAAGAGGGTATTTAACTCAGACAAAATAAACCAGGAAACGCTCATCCCATCTCCATCCGGATCATGATGGGGCAAGAATGCATGCCAACACCCTGTATGTATTCATCAGGGACCACGGAGCCCAGTCTGCCCAAACACACACACACACAACCACATCCTGGGAGGAGTGAAAATTCTCCCCAAATTTACTGAGAGATTAGTACACTCATACACGCTATCTGGCTACTTCCAAAAAGTAAAAATAAGCCCCTGAAGCCGCTCTGAAACTTCTGGCTTCAGAAGACCATAAACAGGAAGAAGGATCCTTCCCTCACTGTTTCCATCCATCTGCTTTGGCTTCAAGTGAACCGCTAGTGGCATCACTCTCTCTTTCTCTCTCTCTCTCTCTCTTTTCCAACACGCTCTTGAATGCACTTCCTTCCCTCTGCCACCCATGGAGGCACTCAGCCTGGTTTGACAGGGCGGTCAGAAATGCCGCAGTCAGACCCGAGTAGCGAGTGTGACACTGTAAAGAGGGCAGACTTAATTCACCTTTCTGCCTCCGCGTTCGCTTTTTTCGCCCGGCAACAGCAGCAGAGCTGACGTTCCCGACATTCATTGTGGACCGCCACTTTCTGTTGGCTGCGTTTGCGTGAGGGATGAACCGTGTGTGTGTGTGTGTGTGTGTGATAAAACAGTCTGTACATGAGATCATAAGTGGTGTGTGGTTTATTCTTGTGGGATGTGCAGCGCGCGCGTGATTAAGCTTTTTCTCTCAGATTTGCTTTCCCTTGATTCGTTTCTAAAAAGGGATGAAAAAATAAATAAAAAAAACATTTGATCTAAAATGCTTTTGAACATATTTTTCCACAGTTGATACCAAATCCTAACAGACCAAACACGGTCACTTCTCGCTCTCTATTCCAGTCCATTTTGAATTTTTGTATGTTTTCTCAGATTTTGTCTTCTTAACTGTGTCATCTAAAATATAACAAAAGAACTGAACAAATTGTTCACACTGAAGGAGCAGAGCCTACAAAAACAAACTGTTCTTTCTGTAATTGGTCGATTAAAGAGCGACTCGTCTCTTGCATTGTCGAAAAGGGATAACACTCGGTACAATAAGAAGTTGAAAATCACTAAATTGCTGACAGCACTTTGTGTTTTTCATACAGTAAAAATATTACTACAACTATAGTAATAGTTATATTAGCAGACGTACGAATAATAAAACTATTTTCAGTTATAAATGGGGGGAAACTAAAACTCACGAGACACAACCTTATTTCACGAGAACAAGTCCAGACGAGATTTTAATATTACTTTGGAGAAAACTTCATAGATCAAATTTATGTTTCAAAAAGGCTTTTATGCTGCATATTTATAGATTTTTGTGACAAATTCAACAAACTTATGCTTCATTTTCTGATTTCTTTTCATCTCTTCAGACTTGAGGACAGTTGTTTCATATACACGGCCTGCCATACTTTATTTCCCAGTTGCTACTGACAGTGGGTTGAGATTGTTACATAGCTTAACGTAGCATTAGACATCCATCCAGTGGTTGTCATAGCAATGCTTTCTGCCTCTTCTTACATTTAAACAACTTGGAGTACTCTGACATTTTTCGTGTCTCGTCTCTCTGTTGCATTTATAGTTCCAACTAGAAACCCAAAATTGAGCCAAACAAATGATGTGAGTGTAGTTCACATTACAGATTCTTCAGGCACAACAGGTGACAGGTTTTACCTCAACAAGAAATATTGTGATGTGTTGATATTGTAAGATCTTGAATGACATCTTACACCCCCAGTTATATATATTTGTTTAAAAATTTTTGCCTCAGTGATTTTTCTACCTATTATATGCTGAGAGTCCCATGCCAACCTGTGACCCCCAACAAAGAGCACTTCCGCTGTCCCTCGCGTCAACAGACGCCGAGCCCTCCCCGACCTCGCAGTCCACACCAGAGTTTCCCCTGACTCAGCACTGCCGCATTAAGTCTTCATATTATTAGAGGGGAAGGTTTCAACCAATTAGTGGAAACGACTTCTCTGCAGAGGCCTGTTAATCCAGCAGTAAATTTGACTTGTGGATGAACAGATTTTAATGAGCTGTGATTTGTGGCTTTTGTGGTTGAGCAAAAGGGCAGACAGACAGTTGGGTTGTATTTAAAAAGTTAAATGAGAGTAATCCAAGTTGTGCTCTAGGGATTCTGGTTTAAAATAGATAACAGGAAGGGACTTAACTGGCTCAGGCGCCAGTATGAGGCGAGAATGGTAAGATAAGAGACCCGTATGGGGCATCTAATGCAGAAATAACTGTCATATTTTAACTCCTCGTCTCGGCTCGCGAACAATTCCTTGTTGTGAGAGATAAAGCTGTACCCGGTGATTATCCCATCTGTGTTTATGTGTGTGTTCTTGGTATTCCACTACTTCTCCATGCGGCCAAGAAAACAAAAGAACATCTAGATTTGAAGAGGGAAAGAGAGACAGCAAGGCAGACACACACACACACACACACACACGCACGCACACAAACATGGCAATCGCATCTCAAGCTGCGTTTCCACCGTTACCTTTTGTAGAGTTTAAATTTGCTCCCTGGACACCTGGGAGGAAAAGACATTCATGATCAAACAGAACAAACTTGAGCCTGTCTGATATAGTGACTGACTCATTTTATTCTTAGTGCACATTTGGTTGCTGTTTTTCAAGTAAACGGCAGCCATCTGTCTGCGTGTACAGCAAATGTTTCCACCGTTCCCTTGTGCTGTTGGGATGACCCTGAGTGAACCAAAGTGGTCTTAGTACTCAAACAAGAGGACAGCCGCCATCTTTCCATTGTTCCACCTGCAGGTCAGGAAACCAGTTAAACTTGCTAGTTATTTTGCTATTAGTAACACAAGTCAATAATGTATTGTTTGCTTCTAAATAGTATCTTCACAAATACAAGCTGTGTAGAACTGTGTGTGTCACTGGTTTACTGCTGTGCAAAATGATAAGTACAAGTAATTCAACATTTACTGCAAGCTTAAATAGGCATGGACAGCTAAGCTGGATTTTTGAAGTGGAGCTGGTGCAGAAGCTGATGTTCAGAGCAGGAATCTCTACATTATGTTTTTGTTTATTAAGAATTGAAAACCTCCAACTTTAATCTACAAATTGAAATGCACAATTACTGTGTAAAGTCACAAATAAACCAGGATCTGTCATAATTGTGAAGAGATCATATTCACATTTTAGAACTTGCTTTTCAGTCAAAATAAGACTGGATTATAGCGAAGTTGAAATACGTCAAAATGATGCAGTTTGCATTAAAAAAGGATTAATAAACAATCATTATAAAATACAGTACAGTGGACCCCTGATATTCATGGGGATTAGTGAATATGTCCCTAAATAGCTGAAACTAACATCCACAGTCTTCCCAATGTCCCAAAAAGTGGGCGCTGCTCTAAATGGGGCGCCATAGCAGCAGCGGAAAAATGATTTCTAGTCAGCATTTTCTGTAACAGCTGTTTGTTAGTGTAAATATGACTAATAACAGAGGAATAATACTGACTACACACCCTTCCTGTTCATCTCCCATACACTAAAGGCTGCAACACCCCTTTAACAACGGCAAGAAAAATAACTGCCTGCTTTCGAACAGCAGCCAATAACTTATCAAGTAGCATTATGCTTTTGTATTTCAGCTTCCCAAACAGCTTTTTCTGTCGATTACTTTAGACGATCTACAAAACAAAAAATCTGTGAATTGGACGACTTTAATTTAGAGTTTAAAAATCTGCAAATTCTGCACTGTGAATAAGCAGGGGTCCACTGTAATTCCATCCAAAACTTTCACAACCAATTTAACAAACCTACAGCAGCACACTGCTGAAAGACAGTTTTTATTATTATAATTTTCTTAAAATCAGACCACAGGAACACAAAACGTCTAGTTTTTATTACCCAAAAACTTCAGAATAAACATTACGTTAATGCTAAAGCTATTTCAAATAGAGCACAGGCTTACTGGTCTGGCAGTGGACTCCTTCATAGCCGGGCTGACATTTGCAGACGTACTCGGTGAAGACGTCACCGCGGCGGCTCTGGCCAGTCGCCTCGCAGACGCCGTCGTTCTGACAGGGGTTGGGGCTACAAGGCCCTTCAGGACAAGAGCAAAGCAAAAAGAACGTGAAAGCAAAGCAAGTCATCATGTGACCGCTCTTTAAAAGTGTTAGGAGCTCATGGTGTTAGGAGAAAGACAAGTCAACCTATAAATGTCATTATTTTATGCGTTCTCTCAAACATCTGGAGGGTGAATGAGGGGCATCAACGTACCTGTCTCAGTCTCATTGCAGGTTTCACCTGAAAAGCCGTCGGGGCAGATGCAAATGAACGGAGACCCTGTGCCGGTCACACAGGTTCCCCCGTTCTTACAAACGTTCACTTTACAGAGGTCACCTGCGAGCAGAGCGAGAGCGACACTAAGAAAAACTTATCTTACAACTATAACAACACTTTACATATCCATATATTCTTCTTTTTAAAGGTAAATGTATGGCCATGACTGCATGGCACAGCATTCATAGTGCCACAAATACTGCAGTAACACTTTATTTGACAGGGTATGAATAAGACTGACATGACACTGTCATAAACATGAATGAGTCTTTATGAATGTCTGTCACTGTTGTCATGAAGTGTCATTATTTACCAAATGACACTTCATGACAACAGTCATAGACATTCATAAGGACTCGTTCATGACAGATGTTATGTCATGTTTATGATTAATAAACCTGACATAATGAGAAAAAAAATTCTCATTTGAAACAAACTTCTTCAGTCATTTATGTCACCAAAACCTCAAAATGGTAGCAGCATTTAATCATATTTTCACATTTGCTGATATTTATTGGTGACCTCGTGTAACAAGTAGAGAAAATAGTAAGAATAACTTTTCCAATAATACTGTCAGTTTTGATTTGTTATTTAACATAAATAAAGCAAATGATTCTCACAATTTATATATATATTTTTTACAATAAATGATAAGCAATACGATAAATGCCTACTCCTAATGTGATATTTCCAGGCCTTGAGTTCTGGACCAGAAAATTATATTTATTGGAGCTTTCAAACTTATAGGTAGAGTGCATTTTTATAGTTTAGGCATAAACTAAAATATATATACATTTAATTTTAAGTTTTGAGATCACATTAAGGAGCAAACAATGACATAAAACTCCACCCTGTTTCTGTTCTGTTGCATTTCATGCTGCTCCATTGTTGGGCTAAATGAGGACCGGCCTGGTACAGGTTGAGTGTGACAGTGTGAACAGCTGAGTAAGCCATCGCCACCCTGTAAACAACAAACACTGGATACTTCCACCAGCAGGCAGCTGCTGCATGACAGGAAGCTGACAACCTGGCAGTCCTCTCTGACGAGGAAAGTCAGCTCACATAAAGCTGAGTGGAGAGAAGATAGAAAAGAAGAGGCTCCAAATTTGAAAACATTAAGAACTGAATCAATTTCAGATTTCTGGTCTTCTACAAACTTAACAATGAGGAAAAATAACTAAGAATTTACAGCACAACAAGCATTGTGGCTCTCTCTTTTAAAAGGGGCAGCATTATGTGTTTTCCGTGCCCATTGTGCTATTTTATAGTACAATCAAGTAACTGTTACCTTTAAGTAGCTCTCAGTGTCTAAATGACAGAATTTCAGCTCATCGTCTGGGCTTTGACTGGATTCGTGTGAACCACAGATTTTATTTGTCTTTTAGTTTTTCTATTGTAGATTTGATGACCTAGTTGGGATTTCATTCTGTTGCATAACTTTGTCAAGCTTGAGCAGTTTAACAGATGGCCTTGTATTTACTACGACTGAAATTCAAAAAAGTTTCAAGCCATTGGGCGTTTGCCAATTGGTCAGGATGGAAATAAGACAAAAAAAAAGTTTGACATCTGTTATGAATCAGTTTTTCTCACGCTGTGTGGTCATCACCATCAACATTCAGAAGATGATTCTGGGTGTGGCTTGTGTTGACCTTCTGCTCCCCCTCATACAGCAGCTCTTCAGCTTACATTTAAAGCTCAATGGAAAACAGTCCAGACAGAGAAATGGAGATTTGGGAAGAAAATATAGAAATGGCTTCACCATTATTGCTTTTTCTTTTTTTTAAGCAAAGAAGGTTGAAATTTAAAGTGATCATCTTTAAGAATCTCTGGTTCACATACAACACCGCAGAGTTTTGCAAAAATATTTATGATGAAAATTGTTACTATTCCAGAAAGTAAAAGTCAGTTTTGTGAAATATCTAAGTCAGGGCCTGAGTTTCTCCAAACATGGTGCTACAGGTTATGTTAAAACATCAATATTATTCATATATAATAAACAGGACAGAAACTGTGTGGTTTATTGAAATGCAACTTTGCAAAACGTTTTCACATAGCTGTTTGTTTTAGAAGGAAGCTCTCTGCTTTCGCTTTCAAAAGAAGCCAATTAAGTTTCATTATACATTACAGCACCAATTCATAACACCTTTCACCTCAAGGCAAGTCATTTCAGTTCAATCATACACACATTCCAATTGATTCTAGTTATCAATAGGGATCCAACAATCCAATATTTTCACTTCTGATACTGAAAAACAGCACTGAAGTGACTTTTTTTTTGCAAACAGACTGAATTACAAGTTTATTTGGTAACTCTGTACCTACAGCACACGTAAGTACACCAATAGTTTCACAAGTTTGGTCAAACATGTAAAAACAATTTTAATTTGTTCAGTCAGCGCAGTTAGGAGTAAAACAGCCAATGTAAACTGACTAAAATAGGTTGCCTATGTTGGTCAAACATGTAAAAACCTGCAACAAACCTTCAAAAGGTTCAGAAAGTCCAATTGATGTCCCTCAGAGCACAAAAGCATAGAAATAGGCTGAACAGATCTGACCTTATGGTTCGGGCACATTGTCACCGATACCTGATGTAGAACTTTTTTTGATTTCAGGACCAGTAGAGATATTGATATTAGAACAAAAACAAAACAAAACAAAACAAAAAAAAAAAAATATATATATATATACCAATTCATTTAAATTACACTTCCTTTTAAACGGCAAGAGCGGTAATAAGTCTAAATTTATTAGTACAGATGAATGAATACATTTTAAAAGAAAGGTCAATTAAAAAAAAAGATCTTACAAATAAATATATGTGTTTTGTTACACCCTTCTGTTTTTACCCATGTCGAGCAATACACACAACCTAAGTAATATTTTAGCAAGAATTGTGGAAATGCCTGGTGTCCAGCTCTACTGCTGACAGAGTAAGAGAGAGAAGTGATCCTCTATGGAAGCATCTCGTTTGGTTTATCCACTTCCTGTGGATATGGTGAGATATGAGAGATGTATCCAATGTCAAGGCCTGTCGACTACGTTCACATCTCATGGGATTCTCCCACCATTGGCTCAACAACTCATCTTTATCTGAAAAGTTGCTGCTTGTTTATCTTCAGGGAGGAATGAGACCTCCCTTCCTATGCCAACTCCTTTCAGGAAACTAAAACGGATTTCTGGAACAATCCGATCCAGGTTGTTGTATTAAAAAAAAAAAAAAAAAAGATCTAGTCAGATTGCTTGGCTTACTTTACAGTCTCTGTAAATGTTTGTGGTCTGCATAAACTGAGGGGGTAAAGTCAGCTCCCAGCCAGGAAATTAAATTAGTGATGAACCAGTAAAAAGTTGTCTGCCAAGAACAAAACCACCAAAAGCATCTTTGAAATTTCCCAAAATGATGAGACCGTCTGTAAAAGCCACACACGAATAAAATGAGGAATAGAGAAAAACCTGCGTAAAGCCACACAAATGATGAAGTATGATTCTCAATTTAAAATATAAGCCGTCGTGTTACACAGTGGCCTGGGTTGTTTATGGCTTGTTCTCTTTTCACGGGAAACGAGAAGCTCAAAATAAAGGTGATTCAGTTTAAGGCGGAGGCTAGTTTACATCTCAGGGGATTTCTTCATTTACCACAAACGAAATGCACAAAAGGTTCAAGTTTTGTTTGCTAAAAATATATATTAAATGCAAAAAATTGAAAAATGTTGTATTTGTGGATCAATTGGCCTAATTAGGCTACATTCACACAGCAGCTCTTGATGCTAAATTCCAATTTTTCACTGAAAAATTCATATTGCTCATTAAATGTGACCGCAATCAGACTTGTGTGTGAACGGTTTGTCACCCCAAAACAACTCGTATGCACAGAAGAAGAAGGTAGGCGTCGTAGATCGTAATGTTTGTGGAAGTAATAATGGACGCTGCCGTCTATGGATCGATTTTAAAGTCGTTTACCGATGAGAGACAACAGGATTGTCACAAGAAAATATAAGCACGACAAATAGCAAGGGGCTTTTTGTGGAGAGTTGACTGCAATTTCCCGTTTGGATGCGTAGTCAAAACCAACCCTTCATAATTTGTTTTCGTAATAATTGTAGTTGATTCAGTAATTATTTACATCTGGATTTATTTATTGCGTCTCGTTTCTTCTGGTGCAGAATTATGATGCAGGTCTCGTGTCAAGGACACAAAAGTCGTACAACATGCGACATGACCTTTCAGAATCCAGAAGCTTTGAAAGCAATCTGATACATATCCAATTTAGTTCCACATGGGGAAGATGCACAAATCGGATTTATTTATTTTGGAATTGGGCTGTGAAAGAGTCGGATATGGGTGACAATTAGGCCTGTCGCAATAAATTTTGCTGGACAATAAATTGTCCCAGAAGTTACTGCAATAAGCAATAATGTCGTTTTGAGACAATTTTCAAGTAATATAATAGTGATGGCATAATAATGCAAGACACATTCTCAAAGATCAACAATGTTCAAATTTTAATGAACATTTAAGGCTGGAACAAGAAGATATTTTAAATATATATATAAAAAAAAAACAGAAACAACAAATAAATTGAAATATCTAAAAAAAATTGATGTTAAAAAAAGTTATAGATGAGACTAATTTACCAGACTGAAGACTTTTGTCATCTAGTTTTTAGTAGAAAAAGAGAGAAAAGAGAAAAATAGAAAAATCTTGCAAATAGAAGTTGAGCTTTTCTTAATTTATCATGCGATTAATTGATGTATTGCTTATTGCGACAGACCTAGTTGCAATTACCTGTTGTGTGCACGCAGCCTAAATGCCATGTCTTTTTTTTTTTGTAAACCACAATAAAAAAAACAAGCCATCATGTAGTTCATTTTCTGCTAAATATGGGCATGACCTAATACTAAAGAAAAAAACACACATTTGTCCAAATAGTTAAGAAGGTACCCAGTGTTGGGCCAGCTCGGTCCTGACCACCATTAGGAAGGTATGCAGAATTATAGTTGGCAGGAAAAGTCATTTCCTTTCCAGAGGGCATTGTGTTATTCTCTGTCCATATTATGAGTCAT